TAATCACTTAAAGATTTCCTTGACAACATATTGGAAATTCGAAGGAAATGGTGCCCATGTAGCACCTTAGAGTTGAATACAAAGATGTTTTTGCAACATAAGATATTTTGATGAAATAAACCAGTGTTTCAATCAAAATGTAAAGGTTTATCACCAAGCTAAAAGTGCAGCTCCATGTAACATACAAGATGTCACAAGAACAAAGAGGAAACAAATTAAGCCAAGATCAATTACGTGGGACCATTTCGGAAAGTTTAAAAATGAGAACAAAGACATCAAGGGTAAATACAACTCGTTGTGATAAGGTATTTACTTGTCATCCTATAAAAAAATAGCACTACTATACTTATGTCTCATATGACTATATGCAAAAAACACACTTATAGTATTGACAATACACAAACTCAATTAAACCTTGCAAGCCTTGTAGGAGGAGAAAACACTCTTAACACCCTTATAGTTTGTGTAGCATCTTAAATGGGGAATTCCTGTGTATGAGGTGTATGACACATACTTTGAATCTTGTTGTTGTTGATGGGTTGAAACATTTTAATCTTTCGATCACTCGTGTTCGATCGGCTATTAGGTATGTGAGACAATCTCTCACTAGGTTAAAAAGATTTAAGGAATGCATTAAACTTGAAAAGATTGATTTTAAGAGTTTATTACTACTAATTATCAAATGTAGGTGGAATTCAATACATTTGATGTTAGATGTGGCTTAAAGTTTGAGAGTGCTTTTAATAGATATGAGCATATTGATCCTTTATATAGGAATGAATTTAATGAAATTCATGGTGATAATATTGTTAGGCCACCTAGTATTGATGATTGGAAGGCTTGTAAGAAGATGGTAAGCATGTTGAAATTTTTTACGACCTTACTTTGCTTATTTTGAGCTCTTCAAATGTGACTTCTAATACTTATTTTGAAGAGATTTGTTCGATTAAATATGTTTTGAGAAAATGACAACAAAGTGGGGATTTTGTTAATTTTTTATTGGTCGGTAAAATGAAAAAAAAGTTTGAAAAGTATTGAGGGATATTAAGAAAATGAATAAGCTGATTTATATTGCGATGATATTTGATCCTAGGCATAAATTTGAATTTATTGAATTTTCAATCAAGAAATTGTATGGTGATTTGGATGGTCAAAATATGAAAAATCTTATGAAGAAATCTATATATGCCATGTATGATTCCTATTGTCGGTTGTCAACTCCACAAGATCAAATTGGCCAAAGTGGTGGGAGAATAAAAGTATCAAATACAAATGAAGAAATGATTGATCAAGGGAAAACTAGTGTAAAACTTGAGATAAAGATGCGTTTTTCAAAATACAAGTATGATATTAGAGGTGGAAAAAATAAAATGGAGTTGGATAGATATTTTGAAAGATGCTGAAAATAATAATGTTGAATTTGATATTTTAGAGTGGTGAAAAACAATTCTCCTCAATTTTTTATCCTTACACAAATGGTTCGTAATGTATTAGTGGTTTATATTTCTACTATTTCCTTAGAATCGATATTTAGCACTTGGAGGAAAAGTTTTTGATGCTCGTAAAAGTTAAGTTCTTTAACTCCTAATATAGTACAATCTCTCATATGTGCTCAATATTGGCTTAAAAATCCATCGACACCAATTATGGTTGAAAAAAATTTGCAAGATGTTGAGAAAATTGAAGTTGGTAATTTTGGTAACTCTATCTTGTCATTTGTTATTTCTTTCCTCTATAATAATGTTAAAGTGTTGAATTTTATTTTATTTTATTATTATTTTTTTTTTTAGATTTAGCAATTGTTTCCACTATTATAGATATTTGATAAATTGATGGTGTTTTAGCTTTTTGGGTGACATGCATAAGTTTCTAATTTTTATTTGCTTCATATAATAATTTTTCAAACTTTTAATATTTTGATAGATTATTCAAAATAATGTGATGTTTTTTTTGATAGGGAATGTCATTGCCAAGACTTGAAAGCAAATGAAATCCATCGAATTATTTATGCCAAATAGATTGTATTTTGATGATGTTTTTAATATTTTGATCATTTTTTTTATTTGAGATAATGAATTGTATTTTAATTATTTTATTTTTAATATTTTGATGATGTTTAAAATATTTTGATGATATTTTTTTTTTAATTTGAGTAAATGGATTTTATTTTAATTAGAATGTTTTTAATATTTTGATGATGTTTCATGAAACTTTTATCTAGTCTTTTATTAAGCAAATCATCTCAAATTACCTAAAATGATAAAATTGGGTCATGTTATTGTTGTTATTTTTTTTTTTAGGCAAGGGCATAGGTAAGATGAGCAATGGCCCGGCCATATGCTAAAAAATAAAAAGCTTCTAAATAGAGGCCCAATACCCATTTAGAATTTATCAAAAAAAAAAAAAAAAACTAGTTTAAACTGAATTAACCGAAATCGAAAACAAAATTTTGGTTTATTATCCGAAAAACCACAATTATTTTAGTTCGGTTTCGATTTTTGTTTCTCTTAATTTGGTTAACCAAAAAATGAATCAAATAACTATTTGCTCACCTCTACAATTAACTCATTTCATTAGATTGTGAAAATTTCATTTGTTGATTAATGGTTGACCATTTACATGGTGACACGTATCACTTTAAGGGTAAAATTATAATTTTTTATTTAATTTTTTTTATTTTTATTTTTTATTAAGTTAAAATAATTAATAAGTATTATAAAACCATTAAAATTATTAGTATTATAAAATCATAAAAAATAATTAATCAATTTCTCTCAAATTTTTTATTAAGTTAAAATAATTAATACAAATTTGAAAATTTTGAAATTGGTTTTTTAAAATAAGTTATTTTAACTTAATAAATTATAAAAATAATTTTTATAATTTATTTTAAGTTAATAAAAATTTAAAAATTATTAATAAAAATTTTAAATTAGTTTTTAAAATAATTTATTTTAACATAATAAATTATAAAAAAACATTTGTATATGATTTTATAATCATAAAATTGTTTTAACTTAATAAATTATTAAACTACAAATACATTTTAACTTAATAATTTATTAATTATTTTAACAATATAAATATTGAAAAAATGATTTTTTTTTTGTTATGATTTATAATACTTGTTAATAATTTTAAGTTACAAAAAATTGAAAAAAAAACTAATTTTAAACAACAAAAATTACATTTTTACCCTTGAGGTGACATGTGTTACTGGATGAATGGTTAGACATTAGTCAATTGAAAAAATTTGATCGATTTGACAGACGAAGTTAACAAAGAGACTAATTTATATTCATGTCTAATACTAGAGGGTTTGTTATACATTATATCTTTACGGGTTAAATGAACTTTTTAAATAATACAAAGTCCTGGAGTGTATTTAACTACAATAAAAAATTTAAGAACATCAAGCTGCAATATGATAATTAAAATTATTAATAAAAATTTTAAATTAGTTTTTAAAATAATTTATTTTAACATAATAAATTATAAAAAAAACATTTGTATATGATTTTATAATCATAAAATTCTTTTAACTTAATAATTTATTAATTATTTTAACTATATAAATATTGAAAAAAAAGTGATTTTTTTTATGATTTATAATACTTGTTAATAATTTTAAGTTATAAAAAATTGAAAAAAAAAACTAATTTTAAACAACAAAAATTACATTTTTACCCTTGAGGTGACATGTGTTACTAGATGAATGGTGAGACGTTAGTCATTTGAAAAAATTTGATGGATTTGACAGATGAAGTTAACAAAGAGACTAATTTATAATCATGTCTAACGCTAGAGGGTTTGTTTTACATTATATCTTAGTATAGGGGTTAAATGAACTTTTTAAAATAATACAAAGGCATGGAGTGTATTTAACCACAATAAAAAATTTAAGAACATCAAGCTGCAATATGTACGAAAGTCTGACAATTATGAATTAAAAATTTTTATAATGTAATGTTATAGTCTTCACAGTACAAAATTCAATAAACTTACAATTAAAAAAGAAGAAGTAAATATTCATAAATGGATGCTCCAAATAGAATAGATGTTGAAGGAACAGAGAAGAATGATGATTGCCAGTACGAATAGAGAAATGAGAACTATCTTCATGAACAAATATAACAATTTGGGATTGGTGGAGGCGTGATTTCTGGCTAATACGAGTACCAGCCAAGTCTTTTTGTCGAGAAGGAAAACTGTCTTCACGAAGAAGATGATGAGTAATGCCTTGCTGTTCTTTTCAACGGACAAGAACGAATGACACATCGTTCAATCACGTGTGTTTAAGTAAGTCTCTCATGTCACACATCTTTTCTAAGTTAATCCTTACGAGGTTTGATTTTCTGTCAATCAAGTCCTTTGATTTGTGGCACTTTGGTCTTTGTTTTCAATTTTTACTAATTGGGTCCCCAACTGTTTCTAATTTCTCCCTCTAGATTTCAGCTATTCTTAAATTGACCCACAATATTTTTAAATTATTTTCAATAAAAATCCCCCTATTATTAAATTGATTTTTCATTCGTTCTTTCTCGTTTCTCGTTTTATTTTCTTTTTCTTCTCTCTGTTTTTTTTTTTTAACTATTCTAAAAATTAAGGGATAATTTCAGTGCTTAAATCACAAAAAATACCTAGAAATCATGCAAAAAAAAAAAAAAGCTATGCAACATAAATTTTTTTAGAATTTGTGTATAAAATGATAGTTTACGAAAGGTCAAAAATGAGTTACGACAATAATAACATATTATTTATAAATAATGATCAAATTTTAAACTTTTTATAATACTCTTAATTATATTTTTTTGTTTACCTATCTCGTCAACTTTTACTATTTGAGTGTGTATTTTTTAATCTTTATTATTTAAAAAAACTAATTTGTAATTTTTTTTTTAATTTGAGCGTGGCTGTTAGTTATTTGTGGATGTGTCTATTATTTGCAAACGGACACTGTCATATGAATTCTATGGACTCTATGTCCACACTTGGCAAAAATGTCGCAGTCGCATGGCGAAGAAAAAAATGATGGGAGCTTCATCATTTCGAAAGCAGCTAATTCTTCACAAGAGAATAACTTCAATCAAAGGTCATGCCACCCCTAGCAGTAGCATCCATTGAAATGAGGAAGAAGAAACTACTTCTAATGAGGAACAAAGAAAACAATTAATGCTAACCTTGTCAACGTGGCGAGTAGTTGCTGCAATTTTTTTTCTCAAATTGATACTGTCTTTAATTTGAGAATTTGTTTTATTCTCATGAAGTTGTGCATATTTCAGATTTCTGCTGGCGATGAAATAGAGAAGAAGGTGGAATTTATGGCAGAAATCATGAAGTTCCAATCATTTTTTCTTTTTTTTGTCACGTGGCTGCTAAGTTTTTGCCATACGTAGCCATGAAGGTCCTATGGTGTTACATGTAAGCAGATAAGGGATACATCAGTAAAAATTTAACGAACACTCAAATAAATAAAAAAATTACAAATTGATCATTTCAAATAACAAAAAGTAAAAACACACGCTTAAATAAAAGAAATTTACAGATTGGTACAAGAAATGTAATTAACTTAATAAAGTTAAGCGTCGTGTATACAGGAGAGACTCTATTGAAATAAAATTAACATAATTCATATTAGCAAGATCTTAATCAACCTATACCTCTCCTAGGCCCCAATGTTTCCTCGGCATTCGCTTCATCATGGTATCAAACAAACATTACAACACAATAACACCGGACCCACCCCATAAGGACAGAAAGCGGGGTAGAGGGGTATGCTGCAATTGGAACCTGCCACGTGGAAACTCTCCTTCCTGTTTTTCACTGGCAGGGGCAGGGCCACTTCTTTTCTTTAAGGGTCTCACTTTGTTGAACCGAACCCCACTGATTCAGTGAAGAGTCAATAGAAAAAGGGTCTCTTCTTCATCCCACCGGGCACCATCAAATCTGCATTTAACCAGCCTTTCTATACAATCTCCTCTTTCTCTCTGTCTCTCTCGGTTTTTGTAGCTGAATTTTGATCCGACGTGAGCGGTTTCTTTTTCTTTGTTTGTTTGTTTGTTTTTTTTTTTTTAATTTGCACATATGATATGATGATGGTACATTTATTTATGCACTTATATTTGGTTGGCATTGCAAATATGGAAGATTACAGTTCAAGGATGATTTTAAGGGCACCAGTTATTCTGGGCACGCGTTGTCTTTTATTTATTTCGTAAAAGGAATTATTTCTTGTTTTCATAAATGGTGAATGGTTGTGTTTGTGTTCTTTTTTTCTTTTCTTTTTTCCTGTAATTTTTAAAAATTTGTAGAGTTTATGGTTTTACATTTTTGTTGTTTTAAATTTTTTGGGTTTCTTTTTGGGTTGTGTTTTATATTTAGTTTTAGTCTTTTCTGATCTAGCCGTTTAAAATGAGGAAACTAAGCAATCACCTTCTTAAGTTTTGTCCATAAATGTTATGTTCAGGTTGATCATGCTCGAACTTTTGCTCCCATTTTTCTTTTAATGTGTTTTGATTCTAATATGTTGTAGGATGGGCACAGCTGATGATAAGTGGGGTGACGAGTGCTCTGTAATTGGGGACAAGGGAGAGATTGAGTTTATTGATTATCAAAATGACAAATCTGTGTGTAGTTATGATCCCAGTGAAGAGGGTCCTGTTGTCATTTCTGCCCCATTTCCATTTGTAGAGGGAAAGCCCCGAGCAGTGTTTGTTGGGGAAACTGCTATTGATTCCATTACTATTAAGAACACCACCTCTGAAGCTGTTGATTTATGGACCAAAATTTATGCCTCGACTCCCGAGGATTCTTTTAAGCTTTCATTGAAGAAACCTCCATCAACTAATGATGTTAAGGACAGTGAAGGCTTCATAGATTTTTTAGTAATGGAGGATCGAATGCTTCAGCCTGGCGAGGTCTTAACCATTTGGTTGTCCTGCAAACCTACGGAACTTGGCCTGTGCACTACAGTGGTGCATTTTGACGTTGGCAATGATAGGATAGAACGAGTGGCTTTTATGTTGGCTGAAGATAAGATATCTCAGTCTTTGGCTCCCAAAAAGCCTTATTCAAGAGGCCAAAGAAAGAAACACTTCTCCGTGGAAACATTTGTTGCTGCAGGTTCACGTCCAGCAAGGGCACTGGGTCGAGTGTACAAAAACAGGCTTCCTCGTTATGATATTCCTAAAGATATTAGAGAATTGATTGAGAGCAAGCAGATCCCTGATGCTATCATGGGAGGTCTAACAATAGAGAATTATGCTTCTTACTTCAAAACACTATTGATCATGGAAGAACTGCAACTGGAGGTAACATTTTCATTATGCAGAATAGCAGCAATAATAGTATGAATGATTGTTCAATTCCCTGCTGAAATTGGTGGTTTGTTGCTTCAGGAAGACATGAGGAATCATGACATGGAGTGTATTACGATGAGGAGGAAGGGGAATTATCTCTCCCTTGTAGTCCCAGGGCTTGCTGAACGGAGGCCCTCCCTTGTCCAGGGGGATGATGTTTTTGCACAGCCTGTAGATGCAGATGACACAACAATTCCATATCAGGTTTCTGCCCATTCATTTAAAAGAATTTCATGTCGTCACGTTTTTAAGAGTTCTGGATTGAATTGAATCCAACTGCTAAGAAACAGCTATGCATTACTATAGTCGCTGTTATTTTCTTGTGTTATCTGCATTTTTTTCATAGTTACCTTGGTATCTTCTGGTAAAGTGATGTGTTATGCAGGGCATTATCTACCGAGTCGAGGCTGATGAAGTGCACTTGAAGTTTTCCCGAGACTTTCACCTGTGCCATAATGATAGAAATCTTTACAATGTGCACTTCAAATATAGTCGAGTTAATAGTAGAAGACTGTATCAGGCCATTGATGCTGCAAAGGATTTAGAAACAGAGATGCTGTTTCCATCTGAGACCTCTGGAATTAGGCATATTGAAACTTCTACTCTGGTGCCTATATCTTGTAGTCTTAATGAGGAGCAGATCTGTTCAATAGAGATGATTCTTGGCTGCAAAGGAGGCCCACCTTATGTGATTTATGGGCCTCCAGGGACAGGTAAAACCACGACAATTATAGAAGCAATGCTCCAGCTTTATCAGAAAAGAAAGAGTGCTCGGATTCTTCTATGCGCACCTTCAAATAATGCAGCAGATTACCTGTTAGAGAAGCTTCTCAGTGAGGAAGCTGTTCACATTCAAGAGCACGAAATATTTAGGCTTAATGCACCATCCCGTCCATTTGAGGACATGAAGCCTGATCTTATTCGTTTTTGTTTATTTGATGAGCGTATCTTCATATGTCCTCCACTTGGTGCTCTTACTCGCTATAGAATCATCATATCTACCTATACGAGTGCCTCTCTTCTCAATGCTGAAGGTGTTGAGCGAGGCCATTTCTCTCATATTTTCTTGGATGAGGCTGGCCAAGCTTCCGAACCCGAGAGCATGATTTCTATATCGAACTTCTGCAACAGGGATACAGTTGTTGTTCTTGCTGGAGACCCCATGCAATTGGGTCCAGTAATATACTCCAGAGATGCAGAGAGATATGGACTGGGGAAATCATACTTGGAGAGGCTCTTTGAATGTGAATCTTTTTATAACGAAAATGAAAATTATGTGACAAAACTGATAAGAAACTACAGATGTCACCCAGAAATTCTGTATCTTCCTTCAATGTTGTTCTATGAGGGAGAATTGATGGCCTGCAGAGAGTCAAATGATGATTCAACTTCCTTGATGACTTTGACAAACCTCCTTCCAGGGAAGAACTTTCCTGTCCTCTTCTTTGGCATCCAAGGCTGTGATGAGAGGGAAGGAAATAACCCATCATGGTTTAATCGAATTGAAGCAAGCAAGGTAGTAGAGATCATCAAGAAGCTGACTACAAGGGGTAACCTGAGCGACACTGATATTGGGGTCATAACACCTTATCGGCAGCAAGTACTCAAACTAAAGAAAGCACTTGAAGACTTAGATATGCCTGACATTAAAGTTGGCAGTGTAGAACAATTTCAAGGACAAGAAAGGAAGGTTATCATTGTATCTACTGTGCGATCAACAATCAAACACAATGAGTTTGACAGAGTCCACTGTTTGGGATTCTTAAGCAACCCAAGAAGGTTTAATGTGGCTATTACTCGTGCTATATCTCTGCTTATCATTACTGGGAATCCACACATTATTAGCAAGGTATTGCTTCTTTTCACAAGTCGTCATAAGAGATTAACTAAAGCAAATACATAGATCATGACCTTTCTTTAGAGAGTGCATCTCAGTTAGCCCAGACATTCTGCACCCCTGTAAATGGATAGATACAGCTACACAGATAGCTGTCTCTATATGCTTCTGCTTGCAGGTTTATGTGTATGTGGGTACGTACAAACCTAGGATTTATGGGAACACCTAAGAGAAGACTGCATGGTGTAGAGTAAGCTAATAGCTAACACCAATGGATGAGGTTTGAGGTTTTGTGCTGTTCCTTACATGTGCATGTGCAAATTTGTATCAGTTAAAGAATGCCTCTTCCTTTCTACTTGTGCTGAGTCAGGGACATATGCTGTGTTTTACATGGCCGATCACAAGTTCCTTTCAAGCAGCCCTGGCATGGAGAGGATTTTTGGGGAAGAGGGCAATAATTAAATTATGTAGCGCCCCAAAAATTTGATTTCTCAAACTTACATGCCACAGCATTACGAAATTCGTAGATGCAGTTTGTAACCTTATGCTTGCATCACTTGCATACAGTTGTCTACGTTGTGTTCAATTATTTCTTTTCCTCATTATTTGCAGGACCAGTACTGGAATAAACTTCTATGGCACTGTGTAGATCACGACTCCTATCAAGGTTGTGCTCTCCCAGAAAGACAGGAGTATGTTGACGACTATCCAACCTATGAGGATTGTGTCAACTACAATGGAGAACAGCCTTTGCCCTCTGGAGAAGTTGGATGGTGTCCGGCATCCTCGCAAACAGAAATTCAAAAGCCTGTGACAAATGAAGCTGAGTGGTCTGATGGTTGGCAACCTGTGTCCTCTGGCGAAATTGGATGGGATCATCCAGGGTCATCTCAAGCAGAAATTCCAGCACCTGTGACAGATGAAGCTGAATGGTCTGATGGTTGGCGGTAAGGCTTTGTTCATCAAAGGAGGACGGATAGGTATTTAATATTTTGGAGTGAATTAATTAGTCCCTGCATGCGGTTCTCTTTTGTTGTCCTTGTGTTGGAAAACATATGATGAATCAGGAGTCAAGGAGTCCACCTAAAGTTATAGGACTTAGGATATCCCTGGAGTCGTGCTATGAAATCTGATTAATTTGTATTTGCAGAAAGTTTACTTGAATTTTTATTTCATATAATGGGGAAAATTTGAGAGAAATGGTGGGTTTCATTAAACATTGGTGTATGGTCTCAAGAATGCTTTACGGTCTGTCGGAAAGGGAAAAATGAAAAATCGACGGATGCTATCACAAAATTCAAAATTGCCTGTAACCCAATATAGAGTGACAGACTTTTTTCGAAAAAAAAAAAAAAAAAAAAAAGAGGTTCAAATGCCAATCAAGTGGTAAGCTTGTGATGATTGCAACCCTACAGATTGAACATTACGATGGAAAGGACTCCAGGTAGAAGCCACCTATCGCTGTTGTGTTTCTCTGCTGATGAATGCGATGCTGTTGATAGAGGTGAAACTGGGCTTGTGGGGGATCCATCAATAGATTCTGGTGGCAAACTTGGAGCTGATACAAGATCACGAGGACCTGCAAAATCGTGACAAAAACTTATTTATCTTTTTGCATATTTCTAACACAAATTAGGATTGAGATATCTTTTACTCAAATAATTCATTGATTCTATAAAAATGCCTCAGAAGAAGTAATGATTAAGCTTAATGACCAGAATCTGGTGGCATTGAAGTTATTGTGCCGCGGAGAGGGGGCAGTGCTGGTGACCCTGCAGCACAAAGAATACAAATAACTAAATTACTGGCGAAATATGGTAGTTCTATTTATATCAGTGGGTGTAGGTAATGAAAACTTGCTATTAATTAATTAATATCATGAAATCACATGCTAATAATCAAGATTTCAATCGAGCCTTAATTATCAGCATCAAAGTACTGCCCAGTTGAATTCCTTAGATTTATTCAATTTGCAATTTATACTAATGAGTGATTAAAACATAATGCCACTTATATATCAAACTATTCAATTTCGCTGGACTTGACCACAGCATGTTATTCCTTCCTTCCTTCCACCTAAAGGCTAACTTGCGCCTAATCTGCTAACAGAAATATCTACATTACTGCATATCTAATTAAGTCTCAAAATTTCGCAAATTAATCACAAAACGACAAGAAAAAAGCAAAAAGGAGTAATATCTAACAAAAATTAGTAAAGAAATTATTATAATTAGCCGAACCTGAGCAGAGCGAGTCCAAAGATACAGGACTTGATAGAGAGCAAACAGAAGGCAAGGCATTCACTCTGGATTCATCCAATGGGAATCCGAAGATTAGAGGCTGCTTGATTAGGTAACAGAAGCAGTTACCGTCACCGGAGTTGAATGCCTTGGAGAAGGCATCGCAGCACTGAGCAGTTTCCGTGTCTGTGACTTTGTTTGGCGGTGCCGAGACGTAGCCGAGGCACGGAGAGAAGGCCACGAGCTCGTCGCTGCAGCCAGGTGGTGATGCTGGCGATGGTGCAGCGGTGGCGAGAAGGAGGAGGAGGAGCATGGAGGCTAAAACGGCTGGGAAAATGACGATGGTCATGTGAGTTACGTTAGAGAGAGAGAGAGAGTTTTTGTTTGTTTGGTTTGTTGCTGATCAGTTCTGGAAAGCTACCTTCATAAAGGGCGTGAATTTGAATGGCGGGAATGGAGATTTTCGTTTTTCTAATCCGCGAGTTTAGTACTAAACGACATCGTTTTTCATGATCAAGTGGCGGACTATCACTTTCTCTGTATTTACCTTTGCCTTTACAACCAAGAAGTCTCTCCTGAACCCTCACCGGTTCACACAACGGTGAATGTGAGGCTAAATTATGTTTATGATTTTTTATTCTCAGAACCTGATTAGCCCTGCTTGTTTCTAACTTTTACTGTTTATCTGTTTTTGGGTCAGGTTTACAATATACAGCGGTCTAAAGTTTTTAACTTTTGGTGATATGCCATTCCTGACTTGTGGGGTGGTTTGGAATTGCGTTATGATGATTTTTGTTTTGAGGACGAGGAGAGACCTAATACTTGTCTCTGCTGTTGAAATCACCGTACAAAATTGGGGACATTTTACCTCTTTGTAACTGGAGTTGGTTGAGTCATGAGTGGCTTCTGAATTCTGATGGGTTTAACGCTGGAATAAGCAATTGAAATGCACAACAAGCAATAGAGAATTACTAGTTGGTTGTCCCCCGTTACGATCCGAGTCAGATAACTAATAAAATTATTTTTTAATTTTTTAATTAAAATTTTGTATTTAATTAAGTTTTTTTTTCATAAATTTTCTACTTAAAAAAATAATTCATCCTTGTTTATACATCGAATATTAATCTAAAATAAAAAATAATTTAAAAATATATTTTTAATAAGATTGTATTAAAAAAATAAAACTACAATTAATGTATAAAATTGTATAAAAATTAACAAAATGAAAAAAAAATGTTTATTCTTATTTAATGTTGATGAAAAGATTATTTTTTGAAGTATATGCATTTAATATATATATAAAATAAACAATAATGTTAGAATAAAAATTTGTATTTGAATCGTTTGATGATTCTTTTAAAAAATTATTTCGCTCATATTGTTTCAAAGAAATTGGTCTTATGAAATTAAATAAATAACAGTAATTAATTGATGTTATGTGTGTAGATGCATAGTTAATTTTTAATTAAATCGATGATTTAATATTTGATATACATCATGACTCTATTAAGTAGATTGAGAATGTGCAGTATAAAATGACAAATTAAAAAAAAAATCAGACAAATTATCTAATATATTATACATATTTTATCCTTGTCATATTGATGAAAAAATGGATCTTTCATAATTTTTCCTAAAGGTCCTTAAAAAAATCAATTGTTGAAAAAAGCTGAGAACAGGCTAGCACTAGTGCCTGGCTCTGGTTCCAACCCGTGTAACTGAAAAACAAAAATATTGGGTCTATAATTTTCAGCGAACCAATCAGCTGAAAAATCGAGCTTAGATTATTCGGCCTCTCCAAGCTCAAATTCAAGCCCATTTTTGTCCAAAAAAATCTTAAATCGCATAAATAACATCAACAAACTCAATTTGAACCTCAAAATTCATTTCAATACACATAAAACTCATAAATATTCAAATCAAAGTAAAAAAATTAGAATATTTTGAGCTTTCGATTTACCTCATTCTACTATTGCATGGCTTGTGATCACCGTAAACAAATTCTACTCTTCAAAAAAAAAAAAATGATGGCGAGCTTGATGGCCGATATGGCTAGAATAGGCCTCATCGTTCCTCTCTCTCTTTATTTCTCTCTCCTTCAAGCTACGAAGGATTAAAATGCAATATAAATAAAGTTTGATATAAAAATAAAAATTGCTTAAAATATGAGGGACCAAAGCAAAAAAATATGATAAACTTGAGTGGATAGCGGGAATGAGTGTGTGTGAACTAGAAAGGAACATTAAATAACTCATGTGTTTTAGCTATCTTATTAGTTTTTCACCTACGTAACGTTGAAGATAAAAAAAACATGTAAAATTATTTTAATTTGAAAATTTATATTATACTGTGAATTCACCAAAATATAAAAATTATTTTTATTAAAATTTTGCATTTGACTAATTATTCGTTGTATTTTTCAAAAATTTTATATATAAAAAAATATTCTTGTTTATTCGATTCTTAACTAAAAACTTGTGATAATCTAAAAATTCATGGATTTATAACCAAAATTTATTTTGTAAATTATTTTTTTCAAAAATCTAATAAAAATTCTCTAATATATATATATATATATATTTTTTAAAAAATTCTAAGAGTCCATCATATAAATCATATAAATTTATTTTTTTAAAAAAATAATCATGGTGTAAAATTTTATTTAAAAATCCATGCATAGAGAACAATAAATCATGTTTATTAATAAATAATATCTAAAAAAATAAAAATTAATTTGATGAAAATCTTAATAAGAAATGACAAATTGAAGAAATAATTTTAAATGATAATAGTAATATAATCTAAAATATATGTTTATTTAAAATATAAAAACATATTATATAGATATTTTTATTTCATGCGATATATGTGAATATACGATATATATATTTATTTCATATAGTAGATGTAAATATAATGATAGATAAATTATAAATCAATCCCTTTTGTTTTGAGACATGAATTAATTAATCTTCTTGATTTCAAAAAATAATTATTTAATCTTTTTAGCCAAGCTAATTTATTTTTTATTTTCAAAAATATCTTTTTTTCTCATCAATCTTTTTTATATTTCTATCTTTTTTATATTTCTTAAAACAAAAAGTCAAAAATTAAAAAATAGCAAGAAGGACAAAAATTAGTTTTTGAAATCAAATGGACTAATTAATTCATTTCCCTATGAAAGAGGAACTAATTTATAATTGACTCTTGAAGCTCCTCTCCTCTCACGAAAATATGGAGGAAAAAAATGCAATCACAGGAGCATTAAATGCTTCATTAAGAAAAAAAAAAGAAAAAAGAAAAGGAAATGACCAAATAAGGATAAAAGAGAAATAAAAAAAGGAGAGTAAGTGAAGGGTAAATGTAAATTTTCAAAAATCCACCGAGTGGCAATAAGAGTAATTAAAAATAAAAGAGAAGGCCATTTATAATGCAAAGGAAAAAAGAAGAAGGAAAATGATGGAAAAAGGATAGGGAAGAAAATTAAAAAAGGAATTAGTAAAGGGCAAATTTGGATTTTCACAAATCCACCGAGTGGCACTAAGAGTAATTAAAAGAAAAAAGAGAGATTGTTCAAAAAAAAAAAAAAAAAAAAAAAAAAAAAGAGAAGAAGAAGAAGCTTAGTTTACGAGCATAATGAACGAGTCTAGCAACAATGAAATCACCATGCCTTTTTAGTTTCTTTTGTAATAATATGTGTTGGACATAGATTTCTTTTTGCATATTGGGCTCATTTGGCTATGACATGTTTGCTTTTATTTCTTTATTTGACGTCTTAGAATATCTTAAAATCGACTTCAAAATTGGCTCGTTTGGTCTCGTATCATTTTACTTTTTAAGTGTGTTATTTACATTGGTTTTATTGAATTTGATACTATCTTAAACAATTTGTAAGCCTATATATGGTGGACTTGATTTAATATTTTACTATGCATCCTACTTTTTATATATCATTTTTCCGTAATTGGATTGAACTCATTTGTATCTATTTGTTGGGTTAGATTTTATATTTAAATTCATTTCTCAAAGATAATGCCACATTTATTGAAAAATATTTCACTACCTCAAAAATCATAATTATTGGATTTGTCGATGCTATGAATGCCATTCCTATAATCATGATATGTTTTGATTTTTGTAAAAATAAATATATTAATAAAATTAGGATTATATGTAAAAATTGTGTATTCTCAATTCTAGACATGGTGATTGTTGCAAGACTCGAAATCAATTCATGTAGTAACATATGCAAATGAATAAAAAATGCTAGAAGTTAAAGGTAACATTTGAATTTTAGATGGCTCAAGTCCACTATGTTTGTTCATTATTTAGTGAAAAATATTATATAGATTTACTAATAAATATGAGGACTAAAGTGAAATATGTACATATTGACTTTAATAACGTCTTGTAGAAATTGTTAGCTGGTTGCCCATGCTAAGCTAGAAGTCAAACAAAACCAACTCGATTTCAAAAATTTTATAATTTTTTAATTAAAATGTTGTATTCAATTATTTTTTTTTATGTTTTTTTTTAATGAATTTTCTACTTTAAAAATGACATAAATCATTCTTATTTATGCATTGATTTTTAAATAAAAAATTATAATAATTTAAACTAATATATTAATTTAGAATTAAAAAATTTCAAAAATATATTTTTTTATTAGATTGTATCCAAAAAATAAAGTTACAATTAATGTAAACTTTATAAAAATTAACGAATAAAAAAATAAAATTTTATTCTTATCTAACGTTGATAAGAAGATTATTTTTAAAGTATATGCATTTAATTTATACATATTTATTTATAAAATAATCAATAATATTAGTATAAAAACTTATATTTGAATCATTTGGTGATTCTTTTAAAATATTATTTCAATCATTTTATTTCAAATAAATTGGTTTTATAATATTAAAAAGCAATAGCAAATGATTGTTGTTATATGTATAGATGCATAGTTAATTTTTAATAAAATTGATAATTTAATATTTGTTATTCATCATGACTATAATAAGTGGGTTGAGAGTATGCAGTATAAAGTTAAAAAAAAATATCAAATAAATTATCTAAAATATATCATATATATTTCATCCTCACCAAATTGCAAATAATACTAATAAATAAAATCAATCTTTCATATTTTTTTAAAAAAAATTCAGAAAAAAATAAAATCAAATGAATTATTGAAAATAAAAAGAAAGGTTGGAGAGAAGGCTTGAGCATGCTTGAACCTCGGTTCCAACTTGTGCACATGTTTAAGCCTTGTTCTAGCTCGCATGCCCGTATGGGTCCGGCTCTAACACATGTTAGTATAAATATCCAAGATTTAATTATATTTGGATG